TTTCTCTCTTTGGTCAGTTTACAACCCTTGGTTCATGTCTTGCGCTCTGGTGCCTCGGTGAATAATGTCACCCCCTCTTCTTTGTGGCAGCCCCTCAAATAATGGAACACTGCTGGACTAGCCATACCCAATTCCTGCAACTTTTCTTCATATATTTTTGTCTCCTGGCCTTTAATCATCCTCGTTGTTCTTCTCTGCACTTTTTCTAAAGTATCAACATTTTTCTGGTAGTGTGGTGACCAAAACCAGATGCTGAACTCCAGATGTCATCTTGCTAAGGATTTATAAAGAGGTACTAATACTTCTTTTAATACTTTTACTGTTTTAATAATAACCTTAAACAAGGGTCCTTCTCCCCAGTCCTGCCGTTCATCTTTTCTTTGCAGGGCTTCAGGCATTCTCATGGCGTGCCTGAAGATTGGGGGCAGGAAGGAGAGAGGACCTAATAAGAAAAGAAGACAGGATGGTCTGGCCCTGGCTGTTCCACGCTAATGATTTATAGGGTCTGTCCTGCAGGCATCGCCGTGGCAATATATCACTAATGAAGGAGCCTGGCTTTACATGGACTCAGCATGGGCTGCACGATATTCTAATACTCTACAAATCCTAGGCTCAAAATGTTCCCAGGCAAACATCAGCCTGCAGGCTTTGGGCTTCCCCATTCTGCATTTACACCAGTTTTTCCCAAATATTTGTTGACTCGCTAAATAAACAGTCTGACTTGGTCTTGCTTTTTCTCAGACACACCAATCACGAGTGAGATTAATCCTACCCTTTCTACAAAGGCTCAGCGGTTGTGGTGTGTGTGTGTTTGTGTGTGTGTGTGTGTGTGTGTGTGTGTGTTTTCCCACCAAAGGTGCAGAGATGAGATAAGACTTGGAATTGGACAGCTCCCAGCAAATAGCTCTGAGTTGCCAGGACCCAGCCTCCGCCTGTGTTCCTCAAATGGCTGTTCCTGCAAGATAACCTAGCACTACCAGGAGACTCGTATTTAGGGGGAGAAAACAAGGGGGGAGTTGGTAAAGGACAAAGGAGGCATAAAAATCTCCCTCTGGGAGAATGTTTGAGGCTGAAGGTTTCTTAGCCAACAGCCGTAAATAAGAAATGAGTGGAGTAGGGAGACGATCCCATTTGATCAGCTCACTTGGAATGAAATAGACCAGAAGCTCATCCACACGACAGGCTCTCCATAAAATTGGCGGGATGTCTTTCAGATCTCATCCCTTTTCCCAAGGGATGAAACTGAAGGTCTTGGGTCTTCTGCTCAAGCAAGAGACTGGACTAGAAGACCTCCAAAGTCCCTTCTAACCCTGTTATTATATATCCTATGTACTACCAGAAGCCTCGCATGGCTTCCAAAGTCCATGGTTTTTCTTTAGATCAGCCATATTTACAGCAATTGTCATTCATGGCAACCATCACATTAACAAAAGACTAGGACCTCTGGAACAGGCACTGGACAGGAGGCAGACAAAATTTCCATGCATGCCAGGAAAAATTAGACTATAACCTTTCACCTGACATTGAGGACTGGCATATAAATTTAAGAAATAATAATTTTGGATGGAGAGACACATGTAATTCATTTATTTGTAAAATTTATTAGATGCTCATCTTATAGCACGGTACTGTGAGTGGCTTATAATATTAAAATATATTAGTGTATAAAGCCTAATAATATAAATGCAATACTATGGCCTACAGCGAGCTCAGCAGAGAATAAATTCAGGAAAAGCTTCTTTAGGTCGACAGAAGACTTTGAAGACTTTGGAAGCAGAGAGGACCTGTCGAAAGCCACAAAGAACCAACACGGGATGGAACCAACGGAGGAGCTGGCAGCCGGATCTGACCAAATCTGGGTAGTATGGAAATCATTCAACAAACTGCACACGGGAACAACAGACCCAGAGACACCCTGAACAAATGCGGCTACCTGGTGCTCTATGCAATTGTGGTGACATGCAGACCACAACACATGTGTATATCTGCCTTTTGTATCCTGATCTGTGTACACTTGAGGACCTCACGGCAGCACAACAGGACGTAGTTAATGTTGCTAGTTTCTGGGCAAGATCTGCTTAATTTGTACATATTTTAATCTTGTATTTTATATTTTATGTCATATACTATGCCTTATTTTAATTGTGATGCTTCTGACACGAATAAACAAACAATACCATAAAAAAAATCAATCTACCTAAAAAGATGCGGAGGGAGGGAGTATGATGAGGTGGGGTATAATTCACAATCACATGAGTTAAATAGCGATGTGTCAAAAAAAGAAAGGAAAGGAAAATATGTCTTAAACTTTCAAACTTTTAGCATTGTCAGGATCTGAGCCTCAAGGAACAACTTTTCCTACAGGGAGAGGAGGCTGCGGGCTTCAGCTGGCTGACAGAGCCAGTCCCCACAGCATTCCCCATTTCTGGAGGTTCCCCAGGGCTAACCTGTTCCTGCTTATTGCAAGGGCGACGATCAGGGCACCACAATAATTAGCAGGAGGGAGAGAGAAGTGCCTCCGTTGATTGTGGAGATGGTTTCCAATTCCTCTCTGCAGAAAGTACCCCAGAACGAAGGAAAAAATATTGATTGCCCATTTTGGGAGGGTGACACTTGCTTAATTAGTACATTATTTCTTTTTGCACAACATGAAGCAATGATTTATTAGGCTGTAACTAGTTACAGAGTTTAGTATTTGGAGGTTAAAAAAAGTAAACAGTTTCTTTGTGTTCACATAACTTTTCACTGTGAAAGATGGGTTGTGTGATCTTTACTCCAATTTAAATTCACCCATAAGAGCTCTTTGGGGCACAGAGTTCCTGGGGCAGGCCCTCAACATCTAGGCCTTTAGTGAGGCAGAGCAGAATCACAGAATCAAAGGGCTGGAACAAACCTTGGAGGTCTTCTAGTCTAACCCCCTGCTCAAACAGAATACCCTACACCAGAGGCCCCTCCCTATTCGGAATTGGGCCGTGTGAGGGGCAGGCCAGAGCGTGCACATAGCTCAACACACATGAGCAGCTGGCTGGCAGGCACTTGCATGCATGCGCCTCAGCCTGCTGCTCATGCAAGTCAAGCTGTGTGTCTGCGCGCCAGCCCACCACTTGCGCAAGGGGTCTGTGTGCTCGTGCACGCATGTGCTGGCCTGCTGCTCACGTGGTTCAGTTCCCCTCTCCCTCTTCCCCAGCCTAGCTGCCAAACCCCAAGGGTTGGAGACCACTGCCCTACACCATTCCAGACAAATGGTCGTCCAATTTCTTCAGTGAAGGAGCATCCATAACTTCTGGAGACAAGCTGTTTCACTGATTAATTGTTCTTATAGTCAGGAAATTTCTCTTTAATTCTAGCTTAGATCTCTCGATCAGTTTGCATCTAGTTGTACATTTCAGTTATGGATTTCATCCCACCAAGTTTCAGTAATGGCAATGATGTCGTATCTGCCCTCTTGTACTGGGATTTCAAGTTCACCCTGTTAATTCCTCATATGTTGAGCATTGGTGGCACCTGATTCCCTTGTGACTGGCCCGGTGCTTGTTTCCACATCTCCTGCTTTGTGTCTTCTTTCTTTTTTTCTCCCTTCCTTCCTTCCTTCCTTCCTTCCTTTCTCTCTTTCTTTCTTTCTGAAGTTGGTGCTTGTACTCCAGTGAGTCTCATATAAAAATGTTTCATGTTTACTCTCAGAAGTGAATTGTTTAAAACAAATAATGTCCCATTTCAGGTTTTTTTTTCTTTCTTTCTAAGTAGTTGCCAAGTCTCAGATGCATTTGCAACTAATTCAGGTACATTTCAATTTCATCTATGAGATCAAGCTTTCTCCTTGCTAGACCTTGACTGAATTGGGCAGTTCTGCCTGTCTTCCCTAATTTCCATTGCTTTCTTTCGTGCAAAGGAATTTGTGAGGTATTGAAAAGCCTCCTCTAAACTGTTGGTAGCTCAAAGTGCTGCTTTGAGAACGGACTCATTATTCAGAATCAGTGAGCAACTGTGGCCTGAGTAACACAGAAAAACATAGATAACTGATGGCAGAAAAAGACTAGTGGTCCCTCAAGTCTGTCCCTTGAGTTTTTTTTGCTTTTTGATTAATTTATGTATTTATTATTTTTAATTTTTTTTTACTTTAGTTTTCTTTCCCACAAACAGCTTCTAGCCTCTCCCCAGAAATAGGTCAGACTTCTAAAGCAGCTCCCAGGTTTTTCTTGCTTACCCAGAGCCTGGGAAGACCCTGAAACGAGGACAACTACCCAATTTCAGACTGACCAAGATCCTGGCAGTATAAGAGCCCCGTGCAGCTAACCCTCCAAGCATCTCCCTGGCTATTGAGTGGTAGAGACTCCAAGCCGTGAGGATGCTGCACCCCTCATTCAGTGGCAACAAGGTTGGAAAAATTCATTTGATTTGTGCCTTCATACAAGCTTCCCTTGTTTTGCAGATTCAAATCTATTGAAAGTTAAGATTGTTGGACAAATAGGAGTAGTCAGGGAAATGAATGAAGCCTGGAAAACAGCCCCTTGTTAGTCAACAAGAGTGCTGATTTACCACCAGCTTATCAAGTACTTAGGAGGGCAGAGCCTGGCAGCACAAGAAAAAAACAACCAATGACTTAATAGACAGCCATCAACTCCCCAATCAACAACTTAAAAAACACACACAGCAGGGCATGGGCTCCAGCACAAGTTTAATCGGAAGATTAAACTTCTGGTCCCAGTGGCCAAACAAGACTGGATCCTGAAACTTAGTTATTTATTTTTTAAAATTTACACCTCTTCCAATTTTGCAAAGTTTCTACCAACTAAGCAAAAAGGCCCCCCCCCCCAAAAAAGCACAATAGGAAAAATGCCGCATAAGAAAGTATACCCTTTTCTTTCCCTTTTCATTCTATTCCTACTACGTTCTGTAACCGGCGGTACTGGAATTTATGTTAAAAAATGCATTGTGTTAGAGAAATTGCTTGAAAATATGTAGGGAGAAGGGAAACAAAAATGCACGGCAGCGAAGAAATGTACACAAATATAATAACAATTTATTTCAAAGTTTTTATTATCCTCGTCACCCTGAAACTAAAGAATCAGGAGGCACTGAATTTAAGAATGGAAAAAAAGAAAAGGAGAGAGCTGCTCGTCCTCCCTCATCTCCTTTTTCTGAATTGTCCAGATTTTCTTCCCAGCGACGTGCAGACACTGTCAGACAAGGCAGCGTCCAGTCTGGGCTGGTCCAGAGGTTTTGTCTTCCGAGCTTTCGGACTTTCGTACGTGGGGATTCAAAACATATTGGATTCGGCAAGCAAATGCTCCTAACCTCCCCCCAAAAAAGACTTTAGTATTAAAGGAATTTGTAGCATTGAGTCTACATTGTTCTTCCTGCCAGCCTTTAAGCTGGCTTTTGAGGGTGAAATATGAGGAACAGGAAAAAACCAAGATAGCTGTCTATTTACATTTAATTTGAGCCCGAAGCTCTTAGCTTGAGAAGGTTGGGAGCTGGCATCTGTCTCTCAGGAGTGAAACGCAAAGTACATAAAGTGGCGGTAATTATAAACCAAGGGTTTGGTGTAATGTCAGACTTTTATGCTCCCTTCCTTAGTCATTAAGATATACAAACATTGCTGAGGGCTTGGCTGATTTCAATAAAATTATGGGTTGAAAGTTTATTTAAGGAGGATGCTCGACAAACCATCCACCAACTGTAACTTTAGAGGGAGGAAATTATTGGAGGCTCTTCAGTGTGAATACAGATGGTGCAGCCTTCCCCCCCCCCATTTCTGTCCCCTTCCCAATATTCTCAGGCTGCTCTACTGCGGTTGTGGGGCAGGGGCTTCAACACAAATTGAGCTGCCTGACTTGATATAGAATTCCCTGAGCCAAATGCAAAAGGAAGATTCTTGTTCATTGGAGACATTGAAAGCATCTAAAGGCCACAAACTAGAATATTTCACAGTGCCAAAGAGGTCTGAATCTGAGCGTGGAAAGGTGAATTTTCTAAATCACCTAAATCACCAAATCAGGCTGAAGGAACCATCAAATGTTGTAGAAGAACAAAAGGAGCCCCTGCCACTTCAGAAGGAGAGAGAGAGAGACATGCAAGGTGCCTCTTTGGAAAGGGGAAGCAGGTCAGGGGCAGGCCCAGGACAGCCAAATGACCACTCGCCCTTACATAGCAGACCAGAAAAGACATTAGACCCCCCCACCCCAAAAACCCTGCCTGGCTGGCATGGATCTTCAGGTGGTTACTAGCCCCAGAGATGACCCACTCCACACCTTGGGTTACCAGCGCTGGGGGAGGGTTGGAAGTTGGGGGCAATTTGGAGTAGCTGCAATTTGCCATTTGCCATATGGGCCCTTGGATTTTAAAAGTCTATTTAAAAGAACTGCTGCCTGTTTAATTGTAGGCAGGAAGCTTGCCACATGGGATTTTTTCCAGCCTTGCCCAGCCTGTGATCTCTAACCAGTGGGCCTTTCTCCCTCTCCAGCGGGTGCTTCCCTTTGTCTCCCAACCAGGTCCATGGGGCGAGGGAGCCACTGAGAAAAGGAGTGGGGAGATGAAGAGGCTGTTGCTGATTTACAGACTTCTCTCCACTCAATCCACAAGCATTTGCTGGAGAAAAGTAATGGGATGAAGTGCCCCAGCAGGACCCATAAACTTTATGCGCAGAGCTTTAACTCAGAGGAAAAGAGGCTCAAAGGATGGAGCAACAATCAGGGCGGAAACTGCCAAGCCACGGCGGGGGGGGGGTAGGGCCACCTTCCCCTCATCGTGTCATCTGCGCTCAGGATATTTGGGAAACCAAACAGGCTTTTTCCCCTCAATGCCCACGAGGCTCAACAGGCAGCTCAGCTTTCATATGAAATATCCTTTTCCTTGCTAAAAAGTCGATAGGTTGTGGAAGAGTTTAAACCATTTGAATTTTAATCAGTGTTTTGGCCCAGGGCTCCTGAGCATACCAAGAGGTTCAAGAATTGCAGCTCAGGTTTAGCAGCCAATCAAGCTTTTAGAAGAGCATCTGGAAAGGAGATTAGTCAGGCAGCTGGAGCCGACTGAAGCGATCCGAGAGTCAAGGGGTGCAACCCAGCAGAGTGCAGCTACTTGATCCTTTCGCCTTTTTATAACCAGTTTGCCACCAGTTGTGTCTCTGGGAGTCAGTAGTCTGTTTCTCTTATTCCACTCTAGAGTTGTCTCTTCTTGTCACCTGAGATCAGAAGGGGCAATGTTAGAAAGAATTCAAAGATAACGTTTTCCCTGTCCAGTTGTGTCAGGGCTGGTTCTGTTTCTTAATTGAGGGTGTTGTTTGAAGACACTTCCATAGTCATGTGGCCAGCATGACTATATGCCGAGGCACATGGAATGCTGTTACCTTCCCATCGAATGGTACCCATTAATCTACTCACATTGGCATGCTTTCGAACTGCCAGGGGCACAGGAGCTGGGCCAAGGAACGGGAGCCCACCCCCTTGCCCGGTGCTCAGCTCTTGAAACTGGGCTGTCAGCTTTTCAGCTGACAAGCTCAGTGTCTTTAACCCCTGAGCCATCGCGGTTAAATATGTAAATTTTGTACAAACAAATTTCTAATTTCTAGCCTAGCAATAACCTGGTCTGCTCACGGCAGCAAAGGAAGAAACAGCAAGAATAATTCCTGGCCTTCAGCTATAAATACAACTACGGGTTTGTGGCGGTCCTGGATTCACGGATATCTACTTATTACTCCATTGAAAGTATAATGTTGAAAAGTGATGGAAACAAGAAATGCCAGGAGAGAAGAGAGAATAAAGGTCAAAAGAACAAAAGAATAATGGCAGCAGGGAGAACAAAGAATTGAAATAACATTTTAATTTTGAACCATCAAATGGTAGTTTAAAAAAAACAGTCAGAAATCTGAAATTACTTTTTTTAAAAAAAATGTTCCTGGTGATTTCATTTATGCACAAACCCTAAGTCTTTTTCCACCATGTTTAAAGCAAACTTGAAAGACACATCATCCTCCCTAGGGGTTCTGGATTTTACGCTCTCTGTTCCTGAAGTGTTTCCTTTTTCTTCTCCTGCCCTGAAAAAGGACGATAAGCTATTGATTGGACTTGCTGAGAGAGGATGAACCCTCTTTAATTACTTCATTAGTTCTCTGCACGTTGAGAGGTGGATTAATGAACAGCTAAGTCCAGGCTAATCACGAGTTTATTCCTTGCCAAAAGTTTGCCAACCAAAGTAAACCACAACCAAGCCAGTTTTCAGAGTTTGGGATGAGGACAGCTTTTTAGAAGAAAAGGAAAGAAATAGTTCCAGGGTCTGCTGCTCGGTGAGGTCTCTTCAGACTCACATTCTGCTAAAACAACTACAGTTGTAGTCAACTTACTACCATATGAATTGAGCCCAAACTTTCTGTTGCTGAAGCATTAGGAACCTTCCTTCCTGGTCATCAAACTGAAGGATTGGAACCACACTGGGACTTGGCTGATGCTTGAGGTCAGGCTCTGCCTGGAGATGATTTAGAAATCCTGAAAAAAAGTGACTGCCATTTCTATAGAACACCTTCCTGCCAGCCCCAGGTGAGTGGGGTGCATAGAGGGGAGAACTGCGGGGAGAAGCAGAGGGCAGTGGGTAGCCTGGCGTGACTGGGAACAATAGCAGAGTGCCAGGATTGAGATAAGGGCAGCAGAAGAGAAGCATCCTGGATACACGGCCATGTGAGTCTGGGCTCCCCTAAATGCTGAACGCTAAACACAGGTTCACATATCATGCGCTGCCCGAGAAATCATGGTAAACTTTCACTGGAGGGCTTGGTTCACCCAAGATGCCAACACCAAGGTTGGATTCCCGAATCACAACCTTCTCAGACCAATGTCAGCAAACCCAAGCAATATCTTGGGGGAGGGTGGATGCAACTGAAAGGGAATCCAGTTGGAGGATTTCCCCCTATACAAAAAGTGAAGATGGAGGGTCCTGGGGGAGAGGGAAAAGCCAGCAAAACAATATTTGGGAGGGGATTTGTTGCCTATCTAAGCAGAGTGAAAAGGGGGGGGAATCAAATATTCTCAAACAAAGGGAGAGAGAAATAATGAAGTTTGGTTGGGTTGGCAAGAGAAGATGCTGAATTAATTGAGTTTTCAAGCAAAACCGTTTCCTAATAATTGAATAAATATGCAAAATTTGCAGGAATATATTTATCGGTGGCGTGAAGAAAATTAATGATTTGCTTTTTATGAAATTAGCATTCTGTTGGAGCAGAAAGCTAGGGATTCAAAAGAGTGGCATTGTATTGTGAGGCTGGGACTACACCTTCCTACTCTGCTCAGTTTCCTTAGCAAACCAACAATCTTGCCCTATGGTCAATTGTGTCCCTTCTGTAAAAATGTTGTCTCTGCAGAATGTAGGTTCAAAATATTTGCTATTTGGGGTGCAGACCAACCTCTGCCTTGCATTCAGTTGTTACTCCACCCTCTCAACCCTTGATCTGACATAGGTCAACATTAGTCATTTTAACTTACTAGTATCCAGATGTTGTCCATCTCCCTAAGATGATGCCTCCTCACATTTCTATGGTTCCTACCAATGGGAGGGAACCCCCACAATGATTGCCTGGCAGGGTGCAGCTGTCCTGGAGCATCTGGGGTCCTCTGTAGGAAGAACAAATATTCTGCCATGAACTGAAGAAGTGAAACGTTTTCAAGGAAAAAAACAAGAAAGTCCAGTTGCCTTTTGGAAAAAGCATTTTTGGGATAACCGTGACCTGAATGTTAGAGAATCTTCATGGTCGTGAAGATTCACGTGTTCATTCAGGTGGGTCCTCCCGTAAAGCTATAAAAGACTCAGTGATTTCTTTGCTAGACATTTATACTTGGTTGTATAAGCAGGAAACACAGCTTGTGTACGAAAATAGAGTAAGATAAAAAAAGTTGCTAAAATATCTGTGCCCACATCCTATAGCCGTGTGAGTATTTTGAGCAAGCTTTATTTTAAGAGCCTTTGTGGTTTCCCTATCATCCTTCCCCGCTCTTTCTGTTTTACTTTTATCCCATGGAAGTTGCAAGTGTGGCCTTTTTGGGAGAGCTCTCTTTGGCTCTGAGAAGCAGACGGGGCCAAGATCACACAGCTCTCCATTCTTACAACCTGTTCTCTTTTGTCTGCTCCACTTCCGACCTTGTGCAGAAATGCATTGTTTCCAGCCCCACAGCCAGGAGCAGCTCTTTCTTTCCTTTGTTTTCCTGCCCACCCCCATGCAGGGGCTGTTGGGAAATTAATTTGACATCCTGCGATGTCTGCCTCTTTCTCACCTTGCTTTTTGCAGGCTGAAATAATCCAGGCAAGAGCAGGGCTGGTAAATCTCAAGTGTCATTAGGTGGGTAAAAGTTTAATAATGTCTCTTAGCGTTTTTTCTGCCTCCAGCCATCGTGTAAATTATGGAGTAATAAAGCAGCAGGAAGGCTCTAATCAAAGGCCCAGCAAAAGGAGCCCAGATTAAAACTCCCACCCGCCCCACCTGGGAGGCCCAGATCCATCCTTTCTCTCCTGTCACGCTCAGCCCATCTCCAAGCTCCTGGCAGAGCCCTTTTCATCTGCGCATTTGAGATTCATCGGCTCCTTCACCCTGCCTTTCTTCTTCCACCAAAAGCCGGAGCAGCGAGTCTGCCGCACTTCGTCCCAGCCTTGGGGGGACCCACCTTCAAAGACCTGCCAGTCACACAGCTTCCTGCTGTCCTTGGTTGAGTCAGCCTCACCTTTTCCAGGATAAATGAGGATGGTGGCAGCAGAATACCCGGAGGAGAGGCAAAGCATAAAGAGAAATAAATTGAATTTAATAAAGACACCTCCCCTTCCCCAACAAAGGGCAGGGTCCCCAGACATGCAGGTAAAGGCCACGTGCCATGGAAAGCATTCTGAGTTTTCGCCTGAACGGAAAAATAAAATAGTTGAGTTGTTGGTCAGCACGGCCCCTCCCTGCACAATATTTCCCGTCATTATCCTGCACTTTTTTCCTGCATTATCCACCCTTTCGGCAAAGAAGGCAGCCCCAAAGGTCAGAAGCATCGCAATCTCTGTGTTTAGCCTTCCCGCCTTGAACTGGTCAGGACATCCCACCTCTGTCTTGGGGCTGGGAGAGTCCAGCTGCCTTGGGCACAGCCTGATAGCTCTAATAGCCCATTAAAGGCTTTGTGCTCTTCTCCTCCAAGTATTGAGATGCAGGGAAAACATATTATCCACCCAGGACTTGCTTAAAACCAGAATTCAGCTCTTTGGTGACAGTTTGAGATAATTTTTTCAAAGGAGCTGGAGGTAGGAAACAGTTTTAAACAACTTTACAATCAATAGCTGTTTTAATTTGCAACGTACAGCTCATACGCTGACAAATAACCTAGCAGAGTGGCTGAATAATATGGCTTCAATTATATTTCTGTACAATATCTATCTTATTTTGTGTCAGGGTACTGCCAAGCTAATTCAATTTTCTGCTGCCAAAGCCAGTGCTTGTTCCCTTTCACTTGCAATATACAACATTATGAAAAAGCCTAAACCTTGCTGCGTGCAAATGGCATCTCTTCCTAGACAACGAAGGCCGCCGTGGGGCTGGGGAGGATGTGTCTTGCCCTCCCCAGGCAAACCCTGCAAAATCAGTCATGAAATCGATCTGGGAGACCCAGGGCGAAAGGGATGAGGCCGAGGCAGAAGTGCCCGAGGTAAGATGTGGAGAGGAAGGCTCTTTCAAGCACACCTGCTCTCTCCTTCACTCTCCTCCTCCCCACTCCTCCTACAAGGCCTTGAGAAGGGGCAGAGAGAAGCAGGGAAATGGTCTCGTTCACAAGTTATCTGCTTTCTTGATTTGGCAGCTGGTCAATACATGTGAATTGAACCTTCATGCTTCATTTTTTCCCCCTTTATTTAAATCTCATAACCATCTTCAGCTAGACATAATTTTCTCTTTGTCAATGTCAGTTTCATCAAGGAAATCACAAATTCAACCAAGGAACCAAGAGGATGTAACAAGCAGCAGCGGCCCATAAAATATATAGTATATATGCAGACACATGCTCACGCACACAGCGCACATATAAAAATAGGGAAACTAAATAAAGCTATAACTGGGATCAAAGCTTTCGTATCTCAGCTGTGGTTATTATTTTAGGATGTAAAAGCTCCCACAATTGGAGGACAAATTGTTGGAAGCTTGCAATATTTGCCTTATTTAATTTTAATATGCCACTGAGAGCACATACATTTTATCTGTATGTAAAATTCAATTTTCTTTATTGCTTTTTAATCTTCTTAAGTTTTTATTTATTTGCTAAATATTTATCTATGTACTTCAGTCTTTAGGCACTAGTGTTTCAATATTTAGTTTCAATTTTCCTTTATAAATTTTAGGCCTGGAATTGAATCCCTTTAAACAATAGCAAGTACTTCTTTTATTTCCAATGTATAATAGTTATTTGTCTTTCTCTGCTGCGTTTCCATACTTATTTCTTTTTTCTTTTCTGATCTGATATACCAGGAGTTTCCTTGGTTTGTTTGCATTTTCACTTACCGTATTTTATCTGCTGTCAAAATTCTGCCATCTCCACTAAATCTAATTGTTATTTAATTGTATTAAACTCTTTCAGTGCTTGTTTAATAGGGTTGGCTTTAGATCTATCCTAATTCCTTTATTTTCTCTTCTAATTGTGATTTATACTCAGTTTTTCCTATTTGTAATAGTTGACTCATCTAGTCAACAACCCATCTAGTCAACAGGGCAGGAAATAAGGTGCTGCTAACTCAATTAAAGGATCAGACTTATCCTCCCTAACTTTCCTCTGAAGCATTCCCAAATCTTGTTCATCTCTCTCCTTTGATCAGAGGTGACTGGATTCAATACCTAACAGTCCTTCCAATATTAGCAAGAAGAAGAAAAAAACCCCACCCATTCCACATTCTCAGAGAGGAGGAATAATAGAATTAAAGAGTTGGAAGGGACCTTGGAGGTCTTCTAGTCTAACCCCTGGCTCAAGCAGGAGATCCTATACCATTTCAGACAAATGACTGTCCAGTCTCTTTTACATTCTGCCATGGGATCAGACCCACAGGGCCTCTATCGTCTCCATCCTGACACCCAGCTTACCTGGGATTTGGGGAATTGATCCAATACATCCAGATGACCACGGATCTGGGGAGATCAGTTTGCACTGACTAGGAGTAACTGTCCAAAGGCACAAGCAGAAATTATGTTTAAAATAATAGACTCAGTTTTGGGAAAGCTGCACAGCACAACCACTGCCTTTTCCAGGAGAGAGCCATTTCCCCATAGGAATAAAATTTATTAAAGAAAACGGTTACAAATTTAACGCCATCCTATAAATCAATGAGGCAGGTTTTGCAGTCAGAGTTGGAATGCCTGTTATATCTTGTTTTTAAATCTCTGGGTGGGTGGGTGTGCATGGTGTGCCTGCATCTGTCCTCTACTATAGCAAACAAAAGGCTGAAAAAGTGTAGAAAAGACCTTGTGCAGTTTCTCTGTGTGGGGTTTTTGTATGCACAGATGTGGAAAGATTTTCAGATTCCCACAAAGGATGAATGGATGGTGAAGTCAGTGGGGTTGGCTGAGATGGTGAAACTAATTACTTTGATGTGGAAACTAGTTTTGGACTTTTTGCTTGAAAATGAAAGAAATAAAATTTTAACGTTGGGATTTCACAATGAAAATTTTTATGAATATAAAAATACAATATACTATTAATTTTAGGGCAAATACTATTATTTTTTTTATTTGTAGCTGTATCGAAGAAAGTCAGAATTCTCCCTCCCATTTTCTGTACTTTTTTTATTCCTTGCACTTCCCCACCAGCACTTCTTTCCTTTTATTTTTTTTTCTGTTTTATATTTTATCTTTTGTAAAAATTCAATAAAACATATTAAAAAGAAACAGGAACTTCAGAAGAGAGCATAAAGGTGGGGTTATTGTAAAGGCCGCCCAGTAGGAGAGCGATGGAAAAGGGCTTCGTTTTGTTTTTTATTTGCACATTGTGGTATGTAGTAAGCACAAGTCGTTTAGACAGTTTTAAAGTAAGATTAGTGAAATAAAAAGTAAATAGTCATGTAATGAAAATTGGAGAGGGAACAGCCTTTATAGTCATCCATAGCTGGAAACTGTTTGGCTTTATGTATATTTACTGTGGACATTTTAAACTGCTATGGAAGTTTTTGTTGATTGTTTTGTAAAACTGCTACCAGTCTGTATTGATTTGGCACTATAACAAGTACAATTAATAAATAAATAAACCAAGAGAATGACTGTTGGAAATAGAAGTATTCTGTGTGAGAAACAAAGATTTGAGATATAGGCCTGATAACCATACTGCGAAATCAATTGATTTCCCAGACTTTACATTAAAGGGGTTAGGCAAAGCCAGACTTTGTCAGGGACAGCACCCGTGGGAAGTGCCTGGTTAACCGAGGGAATTGGTTACTATCCCTGGGAAGAAAGTCAAGTAAACGGCCTTATACATTATATCCTGCTTTGGTAAGATCGCACAGTACTGGGCCCACAATACAGAAAAAATGTTGAAGCTCCAGAAAGAGTGCAGAGGAGAGCAACAAAGATGATTGGGGAGCTGAAGGCTGAGACATGAAGAGCAGTTGCAGGAACTGGCTATGTCTAGTATCTGACCAAGAGAAGGACTAACAAAACCTGGTTAGCATTTTTAGAATCTATCTACAAAATGACAGATTGTTGTTTAAAATAGCGGACTGAAAAGAGAGAGGCTGGGGGGAGGGGAAAACAGGGCAAAGGAGGAAAGCAAAGCTGTGGCCTGACCT